ACTGCTGTTTTAAGAAATTCATTTAGTTTAAAAATGCATCATGTTCTATGAACCGACGTCTAATAGTTGAAACCTTGATCTTCAAAGAAATCAATGAAAGAGTAAAATATTGTCCCCCAAAATGTGTGGGGCAGAAGTATGCAATAGTATATAACTTAAATAGTAAATGTGAGTAAATGCATTTAGTTACTTTCCATCAGTGACCATAAACATGAACCTATTTATTTTCCTAAGGGTGCAGTGTGTAAGATCTGGCCAGAATTTTTGTACGTCGTCTTTGTATTGTGTTTGTAATACCACTTGTACCTGAAGAGGCGATAGTGAGTCACTGTTGCATCCCGTCTGTCCTCAGACATTGTCCGTGTTTGTTAGATAGTTTGTTTATTAGATGAAATACAAAGTGGCAGAAACAACGACTTGTATTTTCATATCGTCCTCCCCGTCACCAGGAGAATACTTCAGCGGTGAGCTGGTGGCGGCTCAAGGAGACTGACCTTCAGTTAGCGGTTAGCTGTAGCAACTTTTGGCTTTTATTTAATAAACTATAATAACATAAACGGACCATACAGCCCCAGTTAGTGTCACAATAAACACACAGATGCTTGTATATTATTTGCCGATGCCACGCGTGAAGACTTTAAGATAGCAGTGTTATTTTAACCAGCTCTTAGTGTTTCAGCAGTTTTGTTAAATTTAGCATCTTCTTGCCCTGCTTTTTAACAGAATAACTGACTATGAATTTAGATTGCATGGACACAGTAGTAAAGGGGAAATAATGCCCCCTATATGTTCGTAGTGTGTGGTCAGATCTTAAACATTACACCCTTAAACCACAAAAAAAGCGTAGGATCTGCACTAACGTCCTCACTCATAAGGTTAAAATTGTGGTCCTCACGAAGATAGAAAAACAAGACAGCACACACACACAGTCCTGATTTGCTCTGAAATGAAAGCAGTGTGCAGTCTTTTGCTATAATATAAAGCCGTTGCTATAATTAGACCGCTGGATCCTCGTATATTGTGCTAATACTCTGGATCGAGATGTGAGGAGAGGCGTGACGTCACCCGCTGACGACGTCACCCGACTGGCTGATGCCACCGCAGCTATTTTTGGGAGCCGAGTTGTGACGTGGAGGCATGTCACGATTTACACGAGTAACACGACATGATAATGACTGGCAGGCTGAGCAAGCACCCTCCTGTGTGTGTGTGTGTGTGTGTGTGTGTGTGTGTATGTGTCCAGCATTCATACGAACACACACACATCTGCTCGGAATTGTGTGTGTTTGTGTTCATACTCAAATTTTTCTTCTTCCCTCTCAATAAGATATGGTAATTTTCAACAACAAAAATGATTGTGGTGAACACGTATGTCAGCTTTACATGGACGCACACACACACATATACACACACACACACAGTTGGTTATTCCCC